CAGTAACAACAGTTTGAAAGCGATCATACCAAGCACGAGGAGACTGCTTCAGACCATACAGAGCACACTTAGCATCAACCTCCTGAAGAGTTTGATCAAAGCTCTTCTTGGCGATTGGCACCTCAGAGTTTTGAGAGCAAGGATTGAAAGCAAGAATCTGGAAAAAGACACAGAAAACAGAAACAAGAATGTAATTCATAAACAAGAATGGTGATGAAGCTACCAAGAAATCAAGACAAAAAGATTGCACAAGTGTGTCAAGCCAAGAATAGTGGTGGAAATCAACAGATGTGTGAACAGTGTGTATTCAAGAAGATGATTTGAAAATAACGGGTAAAACAGCAATGGTGATTAACAATGAAGCAGAGCTTCTTGGAAAGCAACAAAAAATAAAACCAGGAGGAAAAGTGTCTTACCAGAAAGAGGGAAGCTTGAATGAGAATTGCCAAAGTCTGACGACAGATGCGAAAATAACAGAATCACATAAGCATCACCGGAGGAGAGGAACGAAGACAGTTGCAGAAGCTTGAAAGCTTGGAACAATGATGGATATAAGCAAAAGTGCTAGAAAGAGAAAAAGTCAGAGGATTAAATGAAACAAAAAGGAGAAGAATAGTCAAGAAGACGACAAAATTCAAAAATAAAGCCAAGTACACAAGCACTAAGTAAGTATGTAAAGAACAAGGAAGTAATGAACCAGACATGATGCTAACAACAGAAAGCGGATATGACAAAAAACAGTTCCAGGCATTTTAGCAATAAGAAATCAAAAACTTGAAGACAGACGAGAACAGAAGGCAACAGATGGCAAATAAACAGATTCAAAGTAAATCAGAAGAGTTATGAAAGATCAAGCTTAATGGCAAGTAAAGAGTTTATGAACCTACCACGTGAAATGAACGCCGATATGAAAATCGCTGGAGTCAAATAGATGACTGGAAATCGGGAACTCACCAGAGAGTGTGAGTGGAACAGTTGCGAAGCTCTTGGAGTTTACGAATTAATGGAACCAGAACCTCGGCTAGGAGGTACGATTTCGAGCAGTTTGGAAAGCATGAAACTTGATTCTTGACACCAGTGGACAGCGAAGTCCAGGGAACTTTGAGGTCGGCAAGTTTGATCTCAGACAGAGGGGCACAGATGAACGAACAGTGTAGGTTCCATCACCTCAGAATGTCGAGGTAATAGAACCTAGGGGGCAGTTGTGGGGATATATTTTCTGAGTACCAACACGTGGCAAGGTGACGCCGATGTGTCAGCCGAGGTGCCACGTGTCCTGGTCGTGACGCCGAGGTGATCTCGACAAGGCCGAGGTTATCTTCGAAGATACCAAAATCCGAGATAAGTGGATAAGGGACAAGAGTCCTAAAATAAAGAGGGAACTCAACTTGGATATGGACAAGAGTCCTAGATTGGGAGAAGACTTCAGTTTGGGTAAAGATAAGACTCTTAGAGAGTTTATCCTAATCCCACTGGGAGTCCCAGATTAGCAGTAATCCTAAGTCCATTAGGGCCAGGCTCCTTTTGGGACTAGGATTGTATTGGCTATAAAAGAGAGGCACCCCCATGGGTCTAAGGTATGCTTTTGATACTCAAGCTTGTGAGTTTAATATTTGATTTATCTTTGAAAGATATACTGACTTGATCGTCGGAGTGCCCCCGGGTGGTCGAAACCACCGCGGGATTCTTATATTTCTGTTACAGGTCAGTCAGGTGCCATCTATTCTGCCAGTGCTCTCCAGCTGATTACTAAGCGGGCAGTGTGGTCGGAAAATCACCCACACAGTCTAAATGGTAATGTAACAGTAGCTATCCCTGATTTTAACCGTGTGTGCCAGCGCTAGGGGTGTCTTTGCTCTCAAAGACACAAAATTCAGTTAACATTGGGGTGTCTTTGCTCTCAAAGCCTCAAAATTCAGTTAACATTGTGTTTAAATAGTAGGAAAGAAATCAGTAATTTTTTTTTAATTAACAATCAGATAAAAAAAAATTAGTATTGGTTGTTTACAATGTAAAAAAAAAATCTGAATTAAAAAAAACACAATGTTAACATTCAGTTAACAATGTTTTACAAAAAAAATTCAGTTAACATTCAATGTTTAACAATGTGTTTAACATTGTGTTATATTGATTTGAATTCAAAACAAATCAGTATTGGTTGTTAATTGAAATTAAGGAAAAAAAATAGTAAAAAAACCGGTGGGTTCAAATAGTTCAGGGAGGACCGGTGGTTCAAACCATTCAAGAATGGAAAGTGGAAGACAAAACCGGAAGAGAGGTGGGAAGACCGGGTGGTCGACCGGCCGAATGACCCGGGGGACGACTGGCCGGGTGTCCCAGGCACTGCCACTATGCCTTTGATAGAAGAAAGGTTCAAACCGTTCATAATTTCAAATAACAACCGATCTGAAATGGAAAATACGGCATACCAAATTCTGATAAACCATTTACGAACTGATTTCAACTTCTCCGAATTCATTTATACATAACAGATGAATGATTTACACTATTCTTGAAGAACAAAAAGTTGAAACAGTTGATCGACTCGTTTGAAATCATTTTCAGATAACAGATGATGGATGAAGGATTTATTTACCAGATTAGTGGGAGTTGAATAATTATCGCCGGTGATGGAATGTGTATACTGATTGAACGTGCCACTGTTTGCTCGTCGAATTCGACAATAAATTTGATAAATTTGACCTGAAAAAAAAAATTAGAATGAATTTCTCAAATAATTTCCCTATAACAAAATATGTAAATAATTTTGTGAGTAATTTCACCTCGCAGTTGTCGTTGTTTGGTTGCCCGTAATAAGAATCGTCCGCAACGCACAAATCGTAATTCAGTTGATTTGTGAAATATGATACGAGTACGGAGCGGGTTAGGTAGATTCATTATTTATAAAATGAGTCTGACTTCTGAAACTCTCTGAAATTCATCCGTGATGAATCTGAACACAGAGAAGCCACCCGTGATGAATCTGAAGGACAGGTGTAGATGAGGTTCACGTGAAAGTTAGGAGAAACGTTGAAAGGGAGATATTTGCTACCAAACAGATTTTCAAAATGTAATTTGAATTAACACGCGGAATCAATTTTTGAACATCGTATCCAAACGTCATACGCGAGCCCACGTGTTAAAAATTGATTTCAGTTCACAACCAAACAGAGCCTTACAATTTTTAGTTGAAATGGGTAAAATGATACAAATAATAATTGAAGAGGGTAAAGTATAATTTATCAAAAACAAAAATACTTCTAATAATCAAATTTACTTTAAAATTTAACATTTCTAAGACAAGCGTGTCTATCTTGAAATGACAAAAATAAATAAATAAAATCTCAATTCAACACTAGGACCAAATATCTTGGGACCGAATTGGAAGATGAAAATAAAAAATTGAAGATCCAAAGAAATGTGGTACCCAAATTTTTTAACGGTTGCAAACCACATCTTGAAAGCTATTCTTGGTTGAGTTCTTAATAGATAGGAATCGAATAATCATTTTTTTAAATAGTCTCTTTACATCTTTTAATTTTGTCTTTTCAATTTCATCTCTAATGATGTAAAATTAGAGGGGGGCTAAAGAAAAAAAAAAAAAATTAGTGTGAGACCGCTTCACATAGGTGAGCTAAATATGAGAGTACGAAATCACTTCGCATGAGTTTTAGTCACGTCATTAGGACAAAATTAAGGAATGAAATATTTTTCTTTTTTCAAAATATCCATTTACATATTTGGTTGACAAAAAAAAAAATATATATATATATATATATTATAAATAGAATCGTTATTTAATGAATGATCATTTTATAAAAAAATCTAAAAATTATCATTCCATTCTATCTCATGCCATTGGAATCAAATAGAGCATTAATTGCTTTTCCTGAAATATTGAGCAAAAGCCATAGCTTCCAGGTTGAGACAATTAAAAACTTAAAGGGCACTTTTTGGAAGCTTGGACTTTCAACAAAAGGTATGTGTTTGAAGAATAACTTCAAATTCAAAACTGAAATAGGATTTTGGTTGCTTCAAAATCAAAAATTAGGCATAATTCATTTTATCTTATTATAGTGTGATTTGATAGCACTTTACTCCTTATTTTTTTTAAAGATAGTCATATGTCCCTAAGTGATTTTGAATTAAAATGTAACTATTAACACCGTTAACTATAAATGTGAAATGATTATAATACCCTTAAACTTTATATTTTTTGTTATTTTTTTCTCCCTCATCTCTCATACACATAATTTATAATGTGAAGTATTAATTCAATTAAATCACAGTTAATTATAAATTCTCAATTATTTATTGTAGTTATTCAATTTTTATTTTAATTATATTTTAGATCACAATTAATCCTAAATATTTAACTATTTATTGTAATTACTAAATTTTTTTATCTAATTTTAATTTAATTGTATTTTATATCACAATTAATCCTAATTTTTTAATTATTTATTATAATTTCTAACATGTTAATCTAATTTTAATTTAATTACATTTTAGATCAATTTTTAATTATTGTTTATTTTATTTTATTATATTTTAAATCAATTCTTAATTATATTTTATATTTTAGATCAATTCTTAATTATATTTTATTTTAATTAGCATATTAATCTAACTTTATGTTTGGAGAAAATGGGGGTAAAATTATCATTTTCTTGTATTAATTTCATTCTAATTTTTCAGAAAATAAAGTCCTCTAAAAAATTATGTATGTAATACACCTTCCATTAATTTGGATGGAAAAACTGACGGTAGAACTTTAGTCTAAAATCACAGAAAGACTTTCTGACTATATTTAAACGATAGAGGGTAAAGTTTTCCATCCCCAATAGTTTTCCATCCCCAAATCACAAGGGAGTAAAATGAATTTAACCCACAAAAATTTAGTGGTCGTTTGATAATTTGTTTTTTTAAGTATTTTTTAACATTTTTATGAGGTGATTTTTATTTTTTTTTAAATGTGTTTGGAATGATGTTAAATGTTCGGTTGGTAATTTCTTTTATTTTTTTTATGGAACTAGTTTTTAAGCTTTTTGAAGAAAAAAAAATGAAATAAAAAATAGATTTTTAAAACTCAACTGTTCATAACCTAAATTTAGGTGATTAAAAAGTGAATGATTATGACCCAAATGACAACAACACTGGGTTGGTTTGGTAAGGACTCATTAGGCTTTTTTGGCTCAATGAGTCATAAAAGACAGAATAGGCTCATGAGACACAACAAACAAAATATCACATCCAACCCCATAATCATTACACTATTCTCTCACAAAAAAATCAAAAAAGCCAAAAAGCCAAAAGCTCTTCCCAAACTAAACTTTTGAGCCCAGGCTCATATAGTCAAAAAAGCCAAAAAACCAAAAAGTCAACCCACTTCCCAAACGGAGGCTTAGTAGGGATTTTATTTGCACAAAAAAATCATTTAGTACGTCTAATATCTCAATACTCACTATTATTTAGGATTATAATTTATTCTTAATATACCTTATAATTTTTTCACAAATTATCCTTTAAAGTACACCCAAATAATAAACAAATAAAAAAAATCATAAATTGCAATACTTTAAAAAAACCCTGTCAAGGGATCAAGAGTACTCTTCGAAATTTTCGATCTTCTTCTTGTTCACATACTAAACGAGCGGCACGGAAACTAGGCAGCTCACTTGTTTGCTCCCATGGCAATTGAAGTGGAGCAACGAAGTGTTTGGATGGAAGGGTCTCAACCTCTCTTCTTTCTTATGTTTTGGCTGATAGAATAATAGTTGTGTAAACTGTTTGGCTCATACCCCTCATGAAAAGAAAAAGGAAAATGAGTTGGATCATTCAAGGAGACACCCACTTTGACACTCTCTCTTTTTGATTGGTTATTTTTTTTTTTTCTTTTTTTCTAATCATCATCTGTCACGTGTGTGTGGGGTGATGAGGGTGGTGGTTGGAGGGGGTCTCAATAACTTCCCAAAGAAAAAAATATATATATCTTTTTTATTATTATTTTTATTTATTGTTTGATTTTGTTCAAATTTTCTTCTATTTTAAAGTAATAACACAATAAAAAAATAATAATATTGATGATAATGGTGAATTTTGATATGGTGGATTGGAATTTTAAAATAAGAAAGAAAATGAAGAGAAAATAATTGAAACTTAAAAAAACAGATGAAGATGCAAATAATATGAATAATATATAAGTAATTAAGGTGTATAATAAGAATAAAAATATTTATGTTAGGGTTTAATGTGTATGATTCTTATTAATAAATTTATATGTATATTAAAAAATGAAATTTTAAAATTTTAATTCGACGTATTAAATGATTATTTAAATACAAATAAAATCCCCCATTTTCGTCTTTATATTTGTGACTTCAAAACGGAATTAGGCTTAGCACATGGTGGTCAGTAAAGGGCCCACATGGGAGTTTGGGATGGAGCCCATACGTGAGTTTCCATTCTTTTATCCTGATTTTTTTTTTAATTTTTTTTTTTTCTGGTTTTAAAATACAAATAGAACTAAAATTACATCAAATTAGACATTTAAGTATCCAAAAAACAAAAATCAACACATAATTACAGGCGTATAATAAATTCTACAAATATACAAACAAATACTCAAAACAAATATATTTGAAAAAAAATCAACACGAACGTAAGAAAATCTGACTTTTTATATTTAGATTTAGAGATTTTGTGTCAAATTATATATTGAATCTTTTAATTACAATTATTAAATGATTATTTAAATACAAATAAAATCCCCCATTTTCGTCTTTATATTTGTGACTTCAAAACGGAATTAGGCTTAGCACATGGTGGTCAGTAAAGGGCCCACATGGGAGTTTGGGATGGAGCCCATACGTGAGTTTCCATTCTTTTATCCTGATTTTTTTTTTAATTTTTTTTTTCTGGTTTTAAAATACAAATAGAACTAAAATTACATCAAATTAGACATTTAAGTATCCGAAAAACAAAAATCAACACATAATTACAAGCGTATAATAAATTCTACAAATATACAAACAAATACTCAAAACAAATATATTTGAAAAAAAATCAACACAAACGTGAGAAAATCTGACTTTCTATATTTAGATTTAGAGATTTTGTGTCAAACTATATATTGAATCTTTTAATTACAATTTATACGATAAAAATAACTTTAAAAAAATTAAATATATTGAAACTGAGAAAATAATAATTTTAAATTCTCTTTATAAATTATTAATTTTTAACTTTGAATGAATTGCAACAAACATAAACAAATCTCAACCACATCGAAATTTAACAAGTATCTGTTTGTTTCTTTAAATTGGATAAAGTTTGCAGACATGGATTTTCAAAGATTTTGCACAAATAATGTAGATAATGAATTGAATATTCCTAACATAATTAAAAGAATTTCCTATTTATTTATTTATCTTTATTTTTTTTGAGAAAGCAATTTAAAATATGTTTTATTTTAGGTGACCATCACTATTTTAGGGAGGTGGTCCACCGACATTTCCATAATCTAGTTAGTGGTGCGTGTATTGAATTAGTTTTGAAAGGCAACCAAATAAATAACCAGACTTATTGGACACCCCACATTTTATATATTTTAAGTATCTAAATCAAATTATCATAAAAGACAAATCTAAAACTACACTTACTTTTAACTATCACTTTT